AAAAACAGCTCCATATCTTTTCACGATACATGTTTCTGTTTCACTTCAATTGGCCCAAAGTAGTCCAAACCTACACGGGTGAATGGTGGGTCATTCGCATCCAGTCTGTCTGATGGCAAGTCAGCCATTTTTTGTTCACCAATTCTGGCTCTGTACCGTCTACATGTCACACAATTATGAATCAACTTCCTTGTTGCTGAATTGGCATTTGGAATCCAATATTTCTCTCGCAACTTGAACAATATATATCCTCTTCCGAAGTGTCCACCTGATTCATGAATTTCACAAAGTATAAGCATCGACACATGTACTCCCTTCGGCAGAATTAGTTGATGCTTTGATTCTTTTGCCATCTTCGCTTGACAGAGTCTTCCCCCGACCCACAACAAACCATCCTCTCCAAACACTGGATCTAGCTTGTATATATGGCTACTTCGCTTTACCATTTTCTTTGCACTTCTCACACTATGTATTTCTTCACCAAATGCTTCTTGTTGAACACACTAAATTATCGCATGTTCAGCTTCTTGAAGATCTTGAACAGTGATACCCGTCGAGAAGTTATCTTGCTCGTTCCTGCATCGTTTCTTTATCTTCAAGATCCATGATACTGCTCGCTTTAGTTTGTACCAACTTGAATACCGCTTAAACAACTCATTAATTAGCTTCTCTGAGTCATTGGTAGATACTGCATTCACAATCACATGTTTTTTGACCTCCGGATCTCCATCTTTCAGTTGCATATCGCAAGATCTAACAGGCCACTGGTCTTGTGTTTCCCAAAGGAATTCAGGTCTGGTAATCCATCTCTGGCTTTTCAGAAACACCTGAATTGACTGCCCCCCTGGAACCATCCTCTGCTGGATTATGACTAGTGTTGACATAGGACCATTGGTCTGGATTGGATGCTTCATGAATCACAGCTACTCTATTGGCTATGAAGGTATGGAACCTTGCAGTCTCATTCTTGATATACCTCAACACAGTCATGCTATCAGTCCAATAGTGTGACTTGCTTGAGGGGTGTCACTCTTGATTTACCCATGATGAAAGAACAATGTATTTGGCTTTCTTCATTTATCATCCTCATATAGGACACAGCACTATAGCCTAAATTACTCGCATCGGAAAAATGATGCAATTGCGTTTCTACTGGTGTGCCAAAGTCATTTGGCTTAATACATCTCCTGACTTCAAAATGTTTTCCTAATTTGGGCAAGTTGTACAGCCATTCTTGCCAACCTTTTGGTGTTTATCAGGAATCTCTTCATCCCATCCAAGTTCTGTCTACACAAACTTGCAGTATTATTTTGGGTCTCAAAACAGCAGGTGCAGCCAAACCCAAGGGGTCATAAATCGAGCTTACAAGACTTAATATCCCTCGCCTTGTTGCAGGTTTTTCCTTGTATGTATTCTGGAAACCAAAGGTATCAGCTTCAATATTCCATTTCATGCCGAATACTCTTTCAGTCGGCAAGTTGTCACTTTCTAAATCTATATCTTTCACTTCCAGTGCTCTTTCACTTTCAGGTATTGATTCCAACAACTGTTGCTGATTACTAATCCATTTAGTTAGCCTAAACCCTCCTTTATTACAGGTGTCTATCAATTTAGCAGCTAGTATCTTTCCTTCATTTATTGTTACAACTGATTTGAGTAAATCATCAAGGTAGAAGTTGTTGTTTATCGTCTTAGTGACTATATTGCTGTCAGTATCTGTGTTATCTGCTGCTGTTCTCTTCAATGCATGATTAGCACAGCTCGGTGAAGATGTTGCACCAAATATGTGGACTTTCATTCTATACTCAGCCATTGGTTTAGTAGTGTCACCCTCTGGCCACCATAGGTACTGCAACTTGGGAAAACATGGCCTCTATGTCTGACATCAATGCTATGGGCTCCAGTCGGAACATTGAAAGTATTCCCAGCAAAGAATTTGTTAGGTCAGGTCCTTGCAACAGCATCTTATTTAATGATGTGCCCCGAAACTCTGCTCCACAATCAAATACAACTCTTAATTTCTGTTTCTGAGGATGACGGACAGCATGGTGTGGAAGATACCACAATCTTCCTTCTTCACCCCATAATTCCAGGTCCAGTA